GTTCGATAGCGGATGAACTGGCCAACACTTTGACAAATCGGCAAGGCTTCAGATTTGAAACTTTTGGAGTGAGCCTCAGGTACATGATGCCCCAAGTTTTGTTTTTGTGCAGTAAGTCCCATAGCAAGGGCTGTCAGCGCCAGTCGATATGGCTCTCATGTGTCGCGGTCTATAGGTACCTTAATATCGATGGATTTTTACAAACTATACCTTTTTAGATAGCAGATGAATAGGTTATTAAGCTGACAAAACGGCAAAGCTTCAGACTTTAAACTTTTGGAGTGAGTCTCAGACGTAGGTACATGATGCCCACAGTTTCGTTTTTGTGCAGTAAGTCCCATAGCAAGGGCTGTCAGCGCCAGCCGACATGGCTCTCATGTGTCGCGGTCTAAAGGTACCTTAACATAAATGGATTTTAACAAACTATACCTTGTTGGATAGCGGATGAATAGGCCAACAAACTGACAAAACGGCAAGGCTTCAGACTTAAAATTTTTGGAGTGAGCCTCAGACATAAGTACATGATGCCCCCAGTTTTGTTTTTGTGCAGTAAGTCCCATAGCAAGGGCTGTCAGCGCCAGCCGACCTGGCTCTCATGTGTCGCGGTCTAAAGGTACCTTAACATGGATGGATCTTGACAAAGTATACCTTGTTGGATAGCGGATGAATAGGCCAACAAGCTGACAAAACGGCAAAGCTTCAGATTTTAAACTTTTGGAGTGAGTCTCAGACGTAGGTACATGATGCCCCCAGTTTCGTTTTTGTGCAGTAAGTCCCATAGCAAGGGCTGTCAGAGCCAGCCGACCTGGCTCTCATGTGTCGCGGTCTAAAGGTACCTTAACATGGATGGATCTTGACAAACTATACCTTGTTGGATAGCGGATGAATAGGCCAACAAGCTAACAAAACGGCAAAGCTTCAGACTTTAAACTTTTGGAGTGAGTCTCAGACGTAGGTACATGATGCCCACAGTTTCGTTTTTGTGCAGTAAGTCCCATAGCAAGGGCTGTCAGCGCCAGCCGACATGGCTCTCATGTGTCGCGGTCTAAAGGTACCTTAACATAAATGGATTTTGACAAACTATACCTTGTTGGATAGCGGATGAATAGGCCAACAAACTGACAAATCGGCAAAGCTTCAGACCTGAAACTTTTGGAGTGAGCCCCAGACGTATGTACATGATGCCCCCAGTTTCGTTTTTGTGCAGTAAGTCCCATAGGAAGGGCTGTCAGCGCCAGTGGACATGGCTCTCATTTGTCGCGGTCTTAAGGTACCTTAATATGGATGGATTTTGACAAACTATAGCTTGTTGGATAGCAGATAAATAGGCCAACAAGCTGACAAATCGGCAAGGCTCCAGACTTGAAACTTTTGGAGTGAGCCTCAGACGTAGGTACATGATTCCCCCAGTTTCGTTTTTGTGCAGTAAGTCCCATAGCAAGGGCTGTCAGCGCCAGCCGACATGGCTCTCATGTGTTGCGGTCTAAAGGTAACTTAACATAAATGGATTTCGACAAACTATACCTTGTTGGATAGCGGCTGAATAGGCCAACAAGCTGACAAATCGGCAAGGCTTCAGACTTGAAACTTTTTGAGTGAGCCCCAGACGTAGGTAGCGGATGAATAGGCCAACAAGCTGACAAATCGGCAAGGCTACAGACTTGAAATTTTTTGGGTGAGCCCCAGACGTAGGTTCATGGTGCCCCCAGTTTTGTTTTTGTGCAGTAAGTCCCATAGCAAGGGCTGTCAGCGCCAGCCGACATGGCTCTCATGTGTCGCGGTCTAAAGGTACCTTAATATGGATGGATTTTGACAAATTATAGCTTGTTGGATAGCGGATGAATAGGCCAACAAGCTGAGAAATCGGCTTCGGACTTGAAACTTTTGGATTGAGCTCCAGACGTAGGTACATAATGCCCCCAGTTTCGTTTTTGTGCAGTAAGTCCCATAGCAAGTGCTGTCAGCTATTGTACAAGGCAACTGCCCCAAGACGGATCATCTGGACAATAGCTAGCACAATGCTTTCGCCATTGAAGGGGACCTTCATGATAGAAAAGATAATGTGTCAGGATTGGTTTATTTATTTTTTTTTTTTTCATTTTTATTTCAGAAACATTTATTTTCACATGAATAAGTACTTAAGAAAACAAAATAATTGTTACATGAAAACTACTAAGTGGAGGCATTACACAAGAAGCCGAAGCTTATAAACGGAATGCCTTAAAAACAACAATATATTACTATATATATATATATATATATATCCAATGACATCGTCTTCTATCACAATTCACAGTACTGAAAAAGGAAGACTAAATGCAGACAAAACACAAAACAATGAAACAGAAACAGACAAACAAACTGAGTAGACGGACATACATACGAAACATACTAATGATACAACGACACAGTATATAAAATGGATGATGCAAGCAAAAGAAAGCACAATTAAGGCGAACGGTATGAATGTAGAAAACCCAACAAGATACAAAGCAAACTATGCAATATACCGGGAGATAAGATGGTTCTTGAAAGTGGTTTTAAATCGGACAACAGAGGACTGCGATTTCACAGACTGACTGAGTCCGTTCCATAGACGAAGTCCATGAAAACGAAGAGTGTTCATTACATATGATATGCGTGCAAGAGGGATGTAGTAGTTATTATGTGATCTAGTATGGTATTGATAAATATCGTTAATTGAGGTGAAATATGAGTAGAAAGTGCGATAAATATTATAAAGAGCCTGAAAATTCACCCTGGTGGCGCGCTTTCGTACCCCTTGAATTGAAAAATTTTAGAGCCTCAATTTTAAAATTTGCAATCTGTTTTGGCATATTGATTTCTTCAGACAATCACCCTCAAAAAAGGCCTCGGTAAATTTGTTAATTGCATCCCTAAAACTAAAAATTCGCATGACTTGAAAGTGAAATTGACCTTTCACTTCCAAAAATTTAAAATACTTCTGGACTAGTGGAACTCGATGTACTCGTACACTTTGTACAAAGATGATTTTTTTTTTTTGGCAACGGTCGATTGGGTGAAAATTGCAACATAAATAGGAGACTAAAATGCCTCATACAGTGTTTGAAAAATAAACTTGAAGGACTCGTCAGCATTTACAAAAAAAACATCTAAAATGACCGCTGATAAGGACTGCACTCAAGCCAGCCCAACTTGCTCATGAACCCATCGGCTGTAGGTAGGTAAATTCTCGCGTCGTTATACATTTTCGTCCTCACGCAAGAACGTGATGTAAAAACAAACTTGAACGAACAAGGAGGCCTAGGAACGAAAATGCCGGATGTGAAAGGTCGAAAGTTAAATTCGTTTTTACCCATCTCCAAGTAATTTATCATTATTTGTTCTTGAGGAATACCAAGATAAAATTCCAACATGAATGCTTCTTGGGGTGACAACGGTTAAAAATCAATCTGTCAAAAAAAATATGACTGGTCGAAAAAATAATATAGCAAGAAATAAATGGCAACCTAATGTAAATTCCCGTAGGCGTGAGGCGCGAAGGGTCCAGAAGCTCGTCGCGTGACCTTAAGTTGCTTTCATGCAGTATCATGGGCTTTTTCATTTGGGATTTTCGAAACCTTGTTTCAAACTTCTGTTCTGCGTCAACAGTTTTTTATCAGGCCCTCAACTTGGAGGGACTCAATATGGATTATTGCTCAGCTGCATCATCATCAAATCCTATCATTATGAGGCCAAATTACTAACAATATTCAGTTTCGTCTGGACATTGAAGGCTTCTAAATGATTCCAGCGATCGATGAAGCCGAAGCCGGAAACGAAACCGTGGTTTGGGAAAATCTGATGTAAACACGTACGGGTGTAGCGTGAATTGACTCCATGAAATGTGGACTCATTGGTAGTACTGCGCACGCGTGAGTACGATATTACGCTTTTTTAGGATCGTTTCGGGAGAGTGACCTGTCACGTGCGAGGGATCAACCAATGATAGGGAAATAGGAGTCCGATTTTCATAGGAGTCGGATTTTCATGTGACAACGGTCCCAACCGGCCAATCACAATTGATGTTGTTCCACTTCCATCCAATAGCAGTCGCTCACACAGAGCGCGTGACCGACCCAGGTGGTTGCAGCTCAATATATCTCCTCGTTTCAGAAAATAGGCCGGACTGTTTATTTTTAATTACGAAGATTCTTTTTGGTCTAAAACAACAGAATGTTTTACTTTTTGCCAATGCATAGATTTTAAACCGTGTTGAAAATGTGTTCAACGTAATTACGTAATTTTTGTTTGCTGGCGAGAGAAAGTCCGGTGGCGTATGAACACATTCTGAAGTCTGGACATTTTCATTTAAAGGGGCACTGGGTCCTGAAATCCCCGAAAATGTTATGTTTTGGATTGTTTACTTAGCGTATTTCAAACATCTGGTTGAAAGGAAACCAACCTAATGTTTTACCGTTCATGAGAAAAGACGAACAAAGCTTGCTTGTTTACATCGGACATGACGGAGTACGAATACGTTTTTCGTGTCGTTGTCAGTGCACGGTATACACGTTGTGTGTCTCAGGAACAGCGCGCGGTGACCAATCGCCAATGCAAAAAAATTGTGGTTTCTTCAACGTCCGCCAAAGGCGAACACGAATGAAATAGCATCCAAACAGCTTGAATTTTTGGGGTCGCAAAAGTGGACCCCGAAATTCGTTCTCGCACGCATAATACAGGAATAACACAAAAACGCCCAGTTTTGAAAGGATAGTTGTGTGGATGTTTGTATCCTACTTTTAAATGTTATTTCCGATTATTATCATCTCATTCAAAGCGCGTTTTGTAGCCCCATTGGGCTGTTCCAGGACCTAGTGTCCTTTTAAAATGCACACGAAGCCTAATCGCTACACCTTGTCTGCTGCTTTTAGTTATTAAGCGCGAGCGAGCTGTAATTCGGAATGTCTGGCACTCGCCTTTTGTCAACAACAAACAAATAACATATTCCAGCGGATTTTATGATTGTACAAAAGTACAAACGCAACTAACTCGACGGGAACAATGTCGGTAACGCTTGGTCATTGACTCGTGGTCTTCTGTGAGGCAAGAGTCGTGATTCGAAATGTGTCTCTGAGAGAAGCGGGCTTGCAGCGCGGACGGGTCACTGAAACTGCTGCCGGCGGACGGGCCCAGCCCCGCCCCAGGCCCCGGCCCCTGCCCCGGTCCCTGCCCCGGCTCGGGACGGGTTTCCATGCTGCTGCTGCCTTTTGGAATTCGCCGCTCTTCGCTTCACTTCGAGTTCTACAACTCTGTTCTCCGACTGTTGTCCATGGAATTGTAGTGAGTGAAACTTTATCTGGAACAGAAACTATAACCAAACTTTTGTCGAACATTTTTTTGGAAAATGAACCACGGCTGCATGGGTTTCAACGCTGCTTCTTTCCCTTCGGAATTAACATCACTCCAAGCTCCAAGTTTTATGTCTATCCAGTTCTCGAAAACGTGGAACGTAATCGTGGAATTGCTGTGAGTGAAACTTTATAGTGAAACACAAAACTTGAACTGAACTTTCGGCGGACTTTCTTGAAAATGAATCAAACTTTTAATTTTTGCATTTGTTTTGCCTGCCACAAACTCATATGAACTCAAAAGCAACGAAACTTGAAAAACTAAACTATTATAATTTCCGAGAAAATTTTATGAACACTTGAACTGAACTATGAACTGAAATTCTGAAACACTTGAAACGCAAGCTTCATGGATTTATTTTTGTGGAATTGTTCTGTGGAATTTTGTGGATGATCTGAGCAATGAGGAAGGTTTATGCTTCAAGGAAAAGTTGGACTCAACGGTGGTAAGTCCAAACAATATTTTGAGGTTAGTAAAAAACTTGACAACAGTATCAAAAATTTGCAGATTATTATTGTGTGTGTGTTCATTCCTTCTCTCCCATTGGTATTTTTTATGGAATACATTTTCAGTATTTATCTGTGTCAAAATAATGGGTTTTAAACAGTGTCACAAATTTGCAGGAAATTATTGTATTACTTCTTACTTTCTCTTCCATTGTAATTTGTTAGTTCTTTATTTACAAGATGTCATGTCCACATTTCAGTATCTAGCTGTACATGTTTGAATTGCCAAAATAATGGGTTTAAACAGCATCAGAAATTTTCAGGAAAATATTGTGTATCATCTTCATATACCTCTCTTCCATTCGTATATTTTAAGCTCAACTACAGGATTTTATGTCCAGATTTTTAGTATCTAGCCGTACCTTTTAAGGGCAAAATAATGTTGTTGTTTTTTTACCTAACAATTATGAACCTCAAGTCTATTTTTTTTGTTCTTCAAGTTGAAATTAATTACTCTCAGCTTTAAAAAAATAAAAATTTCTTTGCCAGGTGGATTATGCTCAAGTCGAATAGACTCAAGGTATTGATTTTTTTTTTCTCCCTGGGTATTGTGTGTAGTAAGTTGTAGTCATTTTTTTGGATATGAAAGATATTAACACCTGTGAATTCCTCCTAAGAATGTCCGAGAGCAGAACAATGTAGACCAGGGGATCTGGGCTGTCGTAAAGTTGGTTGACCCTGTTGACCTCTTGTTGGCGCGTGGCCACAGAGATGAGCTGCATTGACCCTTTTTTATGTGAGTAAATTAAGTTATGTGGCAGGCACGCGCCTATCAATTGTCTGCATCAAGATAGTCCTCCGCTTTGAACGCGTGCTCCTTGATGATTGACAGATGACCCACGTGTGTGTCGAAGCAAAACGTACCAGCCTGCCTCAAGTTTTATTTTATTGTCGTCCAAGAAACTGCAGATTGTACAAACATTCGAGGTACATCTCAACTAATTAAGTCAAGTTTGCAACTTCACGTCCATTGTCTTCAAAAAGAAAACAGCAATTATCTAGTTATGAGATATTTCAGAAGTAAATTGTGCGTCTCTTTCAAGACAATGCATCCATTACATGTACTATAAGCCTTGTTGAAAGAACTGGACCATCTGATCTTCAAATTGATGTATTTCTTCTTCAGTTTCTTCTTCAGCAACATCTTGGTAATTCGTGGCCTCAAAATCTTCCTCATGAACAAATCAAGAATAAAAGTGGACTAAACAAGAACTTGATAAACTCTCTTCGACGAGCAAAGAAACTTTCAGGACTTCAAAAATTATTTGAAGAAAAGAACAAAGAAATGTGACATTTAGACGACGAACTTGGAACTCAGTTAGATTTCCATCATGTATTCATCAGCTTCATTAGTGGCTGTTTAGCAACACCAGGAGCTTCCTATATACACAACAATTTGTCTACAAGATTTGTGTCCACATCGACCATTTGAAGGAGCCTGAGTGAGGTGTTTGTCATGATGAAGGGGTGGGGAGGGTTATGATGCTCATTTAAAAAAAAAATAAAGTATAAAATAAACTAAGTGTAAACAACCGAGTTATAAACAAATAAGTTATTTCTAATGCTTCTAAAACCCTAATGTTAATACTGCATCTTGAACAAATGCATCAATTATAATATAATTTTTTAATCTCGCGAAACATCATTTTCATTCAATTAGTCACAAATAAATGTAAACATAGGGTGGGAAATAGGGTACATTGTGGGGAAAGAACTCACAAGCAGCAGCACCGCGGAATGCCACGCGTCAAAGCTTGAGGCACTGAGCAAGCATTTGCACATGTGAGTTTGTGAGTAGCTAAGTAATAAGGCACGCGCGCCTCTCGTGAGTTTTTGTCTTGTGAGGTTTTTTTGTGAGTGAGGAAAAATGTGAATGAATGAGTGACAGATGAGAAATCTGTGTCGATTATTCGCCGTATCCGACACAGATTCGGAAACGAGTATTCGGAATCGGAAACGCGGGTTTTCAGAATCGGTATACGTCGCTTAGTAGGCCTACTCGGTATTCGGTTTCAGTAAACCGTAGCAGTATCGATTCGACCACTCGATTCGATACTGACGTAAGTGTGTTCATGTTAACCTATAATGTGTAATTATAGGTTAATGTGAGTGGTGAGTAACGAGTGGTGAATAATAGATCATTATCATGTTGCGGCCATCTTGATTTTTTTTACCATTCAAATCAACGTAACCAAAGCGAGGCTGCATAGGAGGCAGAATAGTCTGGTTCTTTTATGCACAAAACAACATTATCATTCAGTACTATTATTGCATACAGAGAACATGACTGAAATGGTGGCAGCATGATAAAGGTCTGTTATAAGGAGATTAATGTACGAGCGACTTAATGCAAATGCATGCATGCAATGCAATTATTGGCGAAGTTCGCGCGGCAGCAGAGCCAGGGTGGGGTGGGGGTTATTGGTGGGATAAATAGGTCACTCAATATAGCCCTAAGCTTAAAAAAATAAAATTGATTTAAATAATAACAAAGAGTATAAAATAAATAAATATAAAATAAATAAATAAGTGAAGTCAATAACAAATAAGATAAAAAATAGTCTGAAAGAAAACAAATTAAAATACAAAAGTTGAAGTCAGTAAGTCAATAACATTTAATGTTTTTCTAGAATTACAGTGATGATAATATTAACCCTTAATCATTTATTTCAACAAGTGAGTTGGGGTGAGGGTAAAAACAAGCCATTGTGTTGATATTTATTGATTCGGTGATTCTCTTTAAAGTTGCAATCTTCCAAGAATGAAATCTTCGCAAGAATGGCTGCATATAACTGACTTCCAAAGTGTTTGTATACTTCAAAAATTCAGCAGAGATTAAGCACGGTGTTCTTCTTCGTAATGTTCACTTCATCGGCAGAGTAAATTCACCAACCAACTCAAGAGATAATGTCTTCGTCAGATTTATTACATGCCTCTTCTTCAACTATCATCATTCTCCACATTTGAACAGGTTTTTGTACCTCAGTATCATCACGGAGAGAAGAAAAATGCGCCATTTCTACACGAATCAAAGTCTGCATCCATCATCGCGGTATGTCTTCAAGAAAAGCTGCTCGCTGCACAGCTACATCCATGTCTCATTCAATGTCTTCTTGTCTCCTTCAAATGTCTCCTTCAAATTATGTGAAGTTCAGACTTACAAGAATACAGTCATCATAAAAAAGTTGAAACTGCAAGATGTCAGGACCTCGTCACTTGTCAAGAATATGGAAATTCCTTTCAGAGCTAGAACATAATTTTAAACAACTTCATCAAAAAGTTTGTCTCTCTTCAGTACGGTTGCGTCGACTCATCAATTCATCAAATCATGGAAGGAAAGGTCTCACGTTATCAGTGGAACACAGGATGAAATTTTCTTCATTGGAGCGTTGCTTCATTGTTTATCCTCTACTTCAAAACCAGTAAACGGAATTTTGACATCTCCATCAAGCAATCTTCAGGATTTACTTCTTCAAGCACAGTGAACAAGACAGAGGAATGTGTGGCTTTGTTCAGCAAGTGATGTTTGATCTTCGAATTAATGGAATTTGTGTCAGGATTGGCTTGGGGGGGGGGGTGTTTGAGTGGATATAACTATCAGGATAAATGGGCATTAATTTGTGATAAAGAAAAAATAAATCCGAACACTTTTATAAACTCTTTTTTTTTTACTTTAAATAAAAATTAAAAATAAAGTAAGAAATTAAAAGATATTTAACAATTTAATAACATTGACAATAAGTAAAACACTGGGGTTTAACGGGGGTGGTAATAGGGAAAGCTGGCAGTACCGCAAAAAGCTTAGAGCTGCGCAAATGACATAAAGGCGTATTATGTGCGTGATAAAAAGGACATTATGCGCATAGCGGCCATCTTAGAGGATATCTTTTGTTATTGTTATTTAGAAGCAGTGAATGCACAAAAGTTCCACTCATGCATATTCCAGCAAAACAAAGGCAGTGCCCTTCAAAATGGCTGCTGCGCATAGTGTATATTGAGAGTTTGGTGAATAGACCATTATCATGTTGCGGCCACCTTGATTTTTTCCCCATTCAAATCAACTTAACCAAAGCGAGGCTGGAAGGAAAAATAGTCTGGTCCCTTTTTGCACAAAACACATTATCAATCAGTACTGCTATTAGATAACAGGGAATATGATTGAATGGTGGCAGCATGATAAAGGTCTATGTGATGAGTGAACCGTGTTCTGAAGACGGAAGCATAACCGTCGCGTCGCGACCGTGGTAGGCCTACCGCCGAGTGTATCGGTAACGTTCGTCGGTGTAACTCGGTTAAATCGTCGATTTCTCATTTTGTTTCCGTCTTCTAAGAATGCTA